CGGCTCAAAAAAAAAAAAAGAAAGACCCCATTCACCAGCTGCTGCCAGGCAGGGGGCAGGGGATGGGGGGGGGGAATCCCCACTGCCCCACGCTGCATGGGGGGCTCTGCCACAAGCCCTTGACCCCTGCCCACTCTCCCAGTCCCCCCATGGCTGCCCCAGCTGGCCCCAGTGTCCCAGCTCTTAAAAAAAAAAAAAAAAAGAAAGAAAAGCCCCACACTCGCCGGCTGCTGCCAGGTGCGAGGGCGATCCCCATTGTTCCATGCTGCGTGGGGGCCTATGCCACAAGCCCCCAGAGGCCCCAATGGCCACTGCAGCAGCTGGTGAGAGCAGGGCTTTTTTTTTTTAAAGAGCCGGGAGCTGTGGCAGGCAGGGCAGCCATGGGGGAGGCTGTGAGAGTGGACGGGGGTTGGGGAGTGCTCAGTGGGGATGGGGGAACAGGCGGGGATGGGGCCTGGCAGGGGTCCCCCCATGGTCTTCTCCCCCCTCTTCCAGCCCTCCTTCCCCCACCCCCTACTTACCAGCATGGAGTCTGGTTCCAGCTCCCTGAGGCAGCAGGTGAGACTGCCTGAATCTCCAAAGCTCTCCGAATCTTTTCCAAATAGATTCAGAGAGCTTCAAATCAATTTGGACCTTTTTATTGGTCTCCTGATTCGATTCAGATTCAGCGATTCAGCCACTGAATCTTCTCTGAATCAAATCAGCACCCAAAGGTTCACACAGCCCCAGTATGGATATCATTTATCAATCCACCTAATCTAGTTAGGTAGCTAGCTTTGGTGTGTGGTTTAAAGTGACATTTTTCCAGCAAAGTGGTTATTTTAATAGTTTTTCTATCACCTAATATAGAGTGAGGCAATCATCTCATTCAATCTGATACAAAACTATAGTGTAAACTTCTAAACAAATCACTGAAATCATTCGGGGAACTACAGGCCAGTCAGTCTTACCTCGATCCTGGGCAAGCTGTTCGAGAAAATTATTCTGGCACACATCCAGGAAGGGCCAGCAGGGAACGGCATGCTCAGGGGCAACCAGCATGGGTTCATCAGCGGCAGGTCCTGTCAGACCAACCTGGTGGCCTTTTACAACCAGGTCACTAAATCATTGGATGCAGGGGTGACAGTGGATATAGT